TCAGGACTTTGTGCTGTTTTCTTGCTGCCAATGTTGGTATTTGAACAGATGCGTTTGACAGCTGGTACCTTCAGACAGGTTAGTGTTATACGCATGCTTTTCTGCTGTATCTTCCAAATAGATCAACACATTTATTTTATTCCATGATCACCCCCCAGTCGGTGATCTGCAAGATCACGATAATTTCAAGTTACTTATACTTCACCTGGGTGCCAAAATATCTAGCTAGTCATTCCAGAGTTTGTCTTTTCTTCGTCCCCCCACTGAACATCTGCCCTGGCAGAGGAGACCAGTGGGACAGGAGGGAACAGCTGCTGAAATGATGACTTAACCAGTGACAGCTTAATATAACTTGTAAAATCACATTACCAATTAATCAACTGATTATTCAGCCAAATGCTACAAGGAAAGATGGCCAAGTAAAATCGATCTTGTATGCATATTTTTTCTTTTTTCTGGGTTTACAATTTTAGTCTAGATTTTATTTATTTTTATGCTTTGTTGCATATCTTCAAGTACCTCAAAAAAGTTCAACTTTTCAGTTTGCACCTACTAGCATCAGCTAGCACACCTAAACCATCACAGATATCTGTTTTAATTTTATTTTATATCAAATGCTTCTTTATCTCATATGAATCTTGTATGAATCTGTTTCCTTTAAATATCCTGTCACTGGTCTTCACTAAGCTGCCACCTTTTGATCTCGATCTTCAGTTTTGTGATAATCAGATTTAATAGTAAACATGAAACAGTCCAATAGCTGACAATCTCTAACTAGTTCTAAGGACTCCACTATTTTCATTTAATATTAGTCAAGTCTAAGATGCTTGTGATTTTTGTGGAATCTACTCAGATTACTTTCTTACCGCTGTTTCAGTTTCGTCATTGTTTCCATATTTTCTATATAACTTGTGTGCACTGCTTGTGATCACAAAAGTGTAACACAGAGTCAGACAGACCAACTTCAGGGAAAACAATCTTTCTAGTTAGGAAGCATAAAACACTGCAGCACAAAGCAAAGTGGAGAAAAATGAGTCAGGAGGGATTAAACATTTCCTTCTTTTTGAGGGCTGTCTTGTTGCCTGCTGCCAGTTTCATTTGCACCAAAGCAGGTGACTGAATTTGTAACTGGACAGATTCATGTGTCTAATCTTTACTGACATTTATTTTTGGAGGTGAGGTATTTATTTAAATCTTTTATCATTTTAT